TCATGCCAGGCGCGTGTGTGTGTGCCCAAGATCCTGAGAGGAGAGTGGAGGAGACAGATTGTGGTGTGGCCATCCCCCCTAGGTGGAGTGATTTCTCCCTTTCTCTCTCACTGTCTCTGTCTCTCTTTCTGGAGAGCACACACTCCCTAAGGCAAAAACCTCTTTAAAAAAATAATAAAATTGAATGTAAACTTTACTTGTTCAGGCTCACTAGCTACTTTCATAGGTGACTAGGGACTCACACATGGGACAGCACAGATATGGAACAATTTTACAGCCCTAGAAAGTTCTGTTGGACAGTGCTGATGGATTCTGTATCTTCTGCCCTCACCAACCTGCAGCTTTTTTTTTCTGGAGCCACACTGTTTTGGATTCAAATCCTGGCTCCCTTTCTTTCTAGCCCTGTGATTCGTGGCAAGGTCCTTCTCCCAGAGCCTCAGTTTTGTAATCTGTTAAATGGGAATAGAATTAATAGTGCTTACTTCTTCAGGTTGTTTGAGGGCTGTTACTGTATGAAAAGTGTCCGGAGCCATGACTTACTGCTAGCGTGCAGAGAGTAAAAACTCAGTACTGGACACCTGTCACTTCTGGTTTGTATTACTCATTCCCACTTCCTTGCAGATGTAGTTGGTTCACGGTGCTGACCTCTGCCCCTACATCTCAGAATTAGCACTTAGACCATACCTCCTTCTCCTCTGCTTTCCCTTAGGTTTCTAATCAAAACCACAACAGAAAGGGAGTGAAGGCACAGTGCTCAATAGCAAGCATGCGGAAAGGGTGTAGGTGCCAGTGTAAATCCTGACAGGTAACCTGCCACACACTGTTTCCCCTATTCCCAGATTAGAAAATGTAGAGTCGTAAGTCTTCGAAGTCCCAGGGCAATGGCTTGTGTCCTTTCAGGAATAGTCTGGTATTGAAGGGAGCCTGACCCAAACAACTACAGACCAACCACACCAAAGAATTTGAGGAAATTTCTTAGCACATGAATTATCTTCAGAGTTGGAGAAATAGTTTTTAATTTGTCTATTTCTTCCTCGTGTCTGCAGTGTGATTCTGCAGAGGAATTCAGTGCATGAATTTTCACAGGCAGCACCTACTACCATAAATTATCATCTACTATTTCACAAGAAATTTAAAAAGTTGTTTGTAACTAGCATTTTTCCTTTAATTATTATTTTTTGAGAGGTTTTTGCTGTAGGGCGTGTGTGCTCGCCAGAAAGACAGAGACAGAGAGGCAGAAAGCAAGGAATAAAGTCCCAATGGGGGATGACCACGCCACAATCCCTTCTCCTCCATTTTCCCCTCGGGATCTTGGGCACACACGCACACGGGCCTGGCATGAGTTAATGCCACCGAGTCCAGGACTAGAACCACAGTTGGCTACATGGGAGTCCAGCAACATAGCCATTGCACCAACTGCTGGTTCCTAATTATTATCTTTTAATTACAACGCAAATTTAAAAAAAAATCATGCCTGGTGTCCATGAGCCTAAGTGAAGTTCTTGGAGTACAAAAATGGGAAAAGAACCTAAAAGATTTTACATTAGAGGAGTTCCTTTCATTAAAAAAATAATAATAACAGGGACCAGCAGTTAGCATAATGGCTATGTCTCTGGACTAACATGTAGTCGATTTGAGTCCTGGACCACCCGGTGGCTTAAACTCACACCGGGCGCGTGTGCATGCGTGCCCAGGATCCCGAGAGGAGAATGGAGGAGAAGGGATTGCGATGTGGACACCCCCTCTCGGGGGAGTGATTTCTCGCTTTCTGTCTCTCTATCTCTCTCTGTCTCTATGGTGAGCGCACGTGCCCTATAGCAAAAAACTCTCCAAAAAAATTATTAAAAAATAATAATTATAACAAATTTTACACGTAGTTCTCTTTAGTTATTCAGGAAAAATATCATAAGTTTCTTTAGTTTCTGTTTCTTACCATGGACAGAAAACATTTCAGGACTATCTGATCCAAAAAGCCGCCATGACAATAATTTAACATCGAAAATACCATTGTCTTTAATAAGTAACATAGACCTGCAGCTAGGAATAAAAAAAAACTTAAGTATTCTTGGTGCTGGCAGGTGACGTGGTAATTAAGGGTGCTGGACACCCACATGGCTGGCTATGGTTCAAGTCCCAGACCTGGCAGCTTGCTTTCTCACTTTCTCTCTCTCTCTCACTCTGGCCCTCTCTGGTGAAATGAAGAAATATAAATAAATAAATAAAGTTAAATGAAGTAATTCTTTAAAAAAAACCTTAAGTATTCTTTCTTAAGGGACAAGAGTGTTTTATTTATTGAAGCTTTTTTTCCCCATTGCCTTTGAAGGAATAAATACATTAGATATGCACTTTTTTTTTGAGAGGTTTTTGCTATAGGGCATGTGCGCTCGCCAGAAAGACAGAGAGAGACAG